AAATGCTAAAAGTAATGCTAATACAGCAGCAATTATAACAAGTAAAAACCAAAAGTTTAAGTCGGATGTCAAAAGTAATGATTTAAGCATAAAAAATAATGTATCATCAAATAGTAAAGAAGTAGTGTCTACTGAAGCTAATACTGACGTAAGTGCAACTTTAGAAGATAGTAAGAAGAAACAACAGATGTCTGATAACAACAACAATATTCTGAGTGTGAAAGACAATCTTACAATAAATGATCAAGCAACTGCAACTGTTACAAGTAATGCTAATGCAACAGCAACTATGACAAGTAAAAACCAAAAGCTTAAGTCGGATATCAAAAGTAATGATTCAAGCATCAAAAATAATATATCATCAAATAATGAAGAAGTAGTATCTATTAAAGCTAATACTGACGTAACTGCAACTTTAGAAGATAGTAAGAAGAAACAACAGATGTCTGATAACAACAACAAAACTCTTAGTGTGAAAGACAATCTTACAATAAACGATCAAGCAACTGCAACTGTTGCAAGTAATGCTAATGCAACAGCAACCATTATTAGAGATAAGCAACAATTGAAATTAGACGACAAGAATAACAATTTAAATACTAAAAACAATACTGCATCAAATAAGAAAGGAATTTGGTATGCTGAAAATAATAGAGATGTTTCTGCAACTTCAGAAAATAATAATAAGCAATGGAAATCGGATAACAGCACAACTCAGAGCGTGAAAGACGATCTTATAATAAATAATTTAAACGCATCATCTGTTGAAAGCAATGCTAATGCTGCATCAGCTATTGTACTTGATAAACAGCAATCGAGATTAAGCAAAGAAGGCAACGACTCAAGTATCAACAAAAATAAGTCGCTAAATAAAATAGAAATTGATTCTGCCGAAATTATTAATGATTCCAAAATATCTACTGAAATTGACAAGCAACAATCAAAAGTGAATAATGAAAGCAACGATTCGAGTATACGAAATGATTTTACATCAAGTAATAAAGAAGCCAAATCTGCTAAAGCTAATTCTAATGCAAAACTAACTACTGAAAATGATAAGGAACATTTAGGGTTAAATAACAAAGAAAAAGTTCTGGATAATATATATAAAATTAATATTACATCAAATAGTGAAGAAACTACATCTACTATTAGAACTGATATAGAAGCTGAATCTAAAGTAATTCTAACGAAAAATAATGATAGTAGAAAAATATTTGATGAGAAAGCTTTAGAAGTGAGTACTCTTAACCCGATTTCTGAAAAAACTTCTTCGACTATTGATACAACAGATATTAATTTAGAAAACATGGGTAAGGATTCATTATCCAATTATAATATCAATGATAAAGAAGCACAAGTTCGTATAGATGTAATATCTGATTTAATGACAAATATATCAGCTACAAGTATAGTAAAAAATAGTTCTGCTCGTGAAAATAAAAAAATACTTACCGATGAAATTGCAGGAAAATCTGAATCGAATATTTTCGAAGTACAAACTGACAATGTAAATGAAACCAAGGGAAAATTTCAAAGCTTGGAATTAAAAAATAATAACTCAAATCAATACAATCATTCGTTAAAAGAAAGTAATAGTAAATTATTCCATTGGAATGACGACAACAAAAAAGATAGTATCGATGAAATAACAAATACCAAGGCAATTGTATACAACGTTAATAAAGGAAATGTTGATACTTTGATTAGAGACAATACTAAAGTTCCTGAATTGAAAATCAAAGGGGAAAACGTACAGAGTCATAAAAATTTAGTTTCTGCTACAGCTGAAGCAAAAGCTAAATCTATAATAAAAGTCGAGAATAAAGAACTAAATAAACAAGTAAAAAATTACACATTTAATAATGATCATTCGATTGCAAATGTTAAAGCGAATACATCGGCAGCTGTAGAAGTTAAAGTTGATCCTTCATATCCTGATACAGAAATAATTAAAAATTCATTGAAAAATACGAAAGCATCGGTATTAGCTTATGTAAAATCAGAAATTGATTCTATCGAGAGAAGTGATGATAAAAAATTCGAAAAAAACATTTGTAATAAAAATTTAACGAATAATACAAATTTAAGAGCTGGTATTGAAACAAAAGCAGAATCAAATTCTGTTTCGATGAGTAATGGTATAAATAAAAGAATCGAGGGGAGATATAATGAAGAAAAAGACTCAGCTATGAAAGGAACGATTGATGGAAAAAGTGACAATCTTGTAATAACTTCTTCGAAAGAAAAAGAAATTATTAACAATCTGGATAAAACTTCAAATGACCTTATAAATTGGTTTCTGAGATGGAAATCAATAAGTAATGTTGTTGAGAGTAATAAAAATGAACGACAAAACGACACAAAAATAGAAAATAGAAAATCTAAAAGTTCTTACGATGAAAAACATACAATTGATCAATTTGCTACAACTGATACGTTGATTGACGATAAAACGAAGGTATGTCCTAATTTTATAGATTTTTATACATACATGTATGTGTACGAAATAATAGTCATTGATTTTTTTTACATTGTATAACACGTCAATTAATTTTATTATTTTTTGTATACATCGTAAGTAAGAACATTATTTATATTGTAGGATACCGAGAAGAAAATAGAAAAAATGGATGATGCTGATCTCATTATACTAAAAAAACCATACGGTCAACAAGATACAATTGGTGTTACGTTCATTAAAGATTCAGTACCACCAATGATTCTATTTAGGGTGATTCCTAAAAGTTTGTTTGAACAAGTGCGTAAGTTAATTAAAGAATGGGAAATAGTTCGTGTATCATATGCCGAACCACAAATATAAAAAATATGAAGCATTTTCTACAATGCTAACAATTTTTCAATGACAGATTTTTTCATTTCATTAAAAAATTGTCATTTCATTTCATGAAACAGTAAGAATAATCATTATCATCTCGTTTGCACATGATATTCTGCAAATCATCTCATTTGCAAATGACGTATGGATCAGAACATTTTTATGTTCCAAATGATCATTAATTATTCACTATAATTTGCTAAAATACGCAGAGTAATCATATCTTCTATATTAGTTATAGGAAATACCTAAGTAAATGTGATAAAGCATATATAATATCACCGAATAAACATAAATTATAATAGAAATTAAATAATCATGAACTTTTTGACTTAATTCTTTTCAATCATAAAATTATTAAACGAACACACAGCTAGTCGTTTTAAAATAAATTACCAGCTTAAAATTATTTAAAAATCTTTTAGTATATTTTTATAACGTTTGTAAAAAAATATATAGTTATAATATTATAACGATTAATATACTTTTACATGTACCCAATTATGATTATTTATCAAGAAACAAAAAGAAGTAAAAATATATATGAAGAAAATATATTAAATATTGAAAATATAAAAAGTATTACGATTATCTACTGAATTAAAATAATTAAGGCCTTACTAAAGTAGAACATTATTCGTAAATATTGTTTGCTCGATAAATAGTAAAAATTAATTATTCCAATAACCACTGATGTTGATCGTTATCATCCCATTCGTGGTTATACATATTTGACTTTAAACTTGCCGATAACACAAACGTAGCCGGAAGTTTAGCCTGTGGTTTAGAGTAAAACGCTGACTCGTCGAAGCATGATTCAACCTTCGAAATGATCGTTTCTCTGAATACAGTATGAACTATATAGAATATGTATGTACATTGGAACTGGTAACGTTTGGATTGTTGGCCATTCCTCTAGTTTATCACGGTCTGAAAAACGGATGAAGAAATCGATACTTACCGAAGCTTTCGTTAAACCTACCACATAACTCTTTACATCATTCGATCGATGTTGCATCGAAGAAAACAAACTCTGTATGTATGTATATGTTCTTCCGTTGTAAACCTAGTATACATACTGATCAAAACGTTATATATATATATCTATATATGAAGCACCTAGCTTCAAATCGTTACACAAGTTCATCGTGTATTCGCCTGGTTACGATAGCAACTTTTCTCTCATAAGAATGGTATGCAACGATACGAAGCTATTCTCATAAAAAGATCTATCCTCCACAGGTATCCTGCGTATACAAGTTTCTAACTCTTGACGCGGATAAAGTAAAAAATATGACCTCTTTCTTTTTTTCTCCCCTATTTTTCTTATTTTTTTTTTATAAAAAAAAAAAGAAGAAAAAATAAGATATAAGTTCGCTCATAGTTCTTACCGTGACTTCAACCACGGATCTCATATTCGTTGCCTCGTAGAAAGGCAGACATTAAAGCCGTAGATATGGTATTTCTTTTTTCCAGAAAAAGTAGTTATCAGGTCGTTTTACAACTTTAAAGAGTTCATCACGTCAAACATTTGATTACGTTTAAGTTTGTTTTTCACAAAATTTACGATCCTACTTTAAAAGGCTAAGCATATTTTTTTTACCATCCAATGTATTATTATATCGTCTCTTTCTCTCTGCTAAGAGAAACAAACATACGTAAATATAATAGAGAAATGTTTTAGAAGAAAAAAGAAATATATATATTTGAAAGATTTAAATACGATAAATTTTCAAACGATAAGACGCGAATAAGTCTTTGATAAGCCATTGATTCTCGTTTTACGACTTTCGAAATTGGTGCGACTTCATCATCGACTATACTATATGGCCCGTCGTTGGCAGATATACGAGCGACAGGGCCGCAAGACCGTTTCAATGCGAAACAACTTTTAGAGGCCGTAACTAGTAATCACTTCGTTGGATGTCGTTCGAATGCGGTAGCATCTGACGTCGAAAATTCAGCAACGTTGTTTAGTGTCTTTATACCCTGGTTTACCGAACGTTTATCGAGATTTTATAAGAATTCGAAAAAAAAAATATCGAGTTTCTCATAAAAAAAAAAAAGAAGATCGTGATAGCATAAAATCTGCATAAAATATTAATGGATGGATATATTTTATATAAAAACCTATATATATATTATATGATATAAAACTTACCTCAAAATCCGTGAAAGCTTTGTACGTGAGAACTAAGCAGCCGCCGAAAAATAGACAAGTCGCAAGGTTCCTAGTATCAGCTAAAGATGTAACCAGAGGAACGGAACCCATTTGCCAGTCATGAGAGAGCGTAACCGGGCATAGAAGTAGCCAACAGTTAAGTGCCGCCAAATAACAAAACGTCAGTAATCTATAACAATAATATAAATGTTTATTGATTAAAAGAAAATAATCTAGTGTATACTATACAATATTATTTGATCACATGAATGGTAATAAAACCATTTGATTATATAATAAAGGACTTTGACTAATAGAGTTTCGTTGACAGTGTGTTCTTTTGATCGATGAATCCACATCGTAAGAATCTACATAGAAAGGAAACCCCTAATCCATCGTTATTCGCGATGGCTCGGTGCAAAGTGCCAAAAGATGTCAATGGTTCTTTTCTGCGAGTCACTCGAGAAAAAATGAAAGCGATCGAGGATCATGGCTTGTGAAAGTAGACGGGCTTCGACGTACGGTATTGTTCTCACACGTTCGTGGCGAAGCGCGGGAAAACCATCAAGGAAGAAGAAGAGAGGATCGTCGTCGTGTCTAGTGCTGACGTCGAATCTTTCGTTTTCTCACTATCAGCATTCATCGATATAATCACCGATATAATACCCCTGATGCTCCATCATCGAGGCAGGCTGCGTATTCTTGACACCATCTTCGATGAGGTGGATTCTGTTCTCTCACTCTCTCTTCTCTCTTTATTTTTCTCTTCATCCTTTACCTTCTTCGTTTCTCTCCTTCACGCCGTTGTATCGGTCTAACACCCTCAGGGTGGCTTACTCGACGGGTCTATTGTTTCGCGAACAAGCTCCGTCGTATAACGACGAGTCGCATAACATGCCGGCAAATATTCTCGTCACTCCGCCACCCTGAGTGTTAATACCGACGGAGCGTGATCCCCTCTAATTGTCCTCCGTACCAGCTGCGGATTTACCAAGAAACGTGCTTGTTTATAGGAGAGACCAAATCCTAAACCAAAGGAATACGAAGAGAATGCCAAAAGCGTCGCGACTACGCATTTCCCATTGAATTTCTTAGAAATCAACACGTTATATTTCAAGAATTATGTCGAACAAATTCTCTTTTCCATTCATAATAATAATAATTAAGATAAAAATGTAACAGTATTGGTGTTTAGAGTGACGTGGAAATTTACTTTTAATTGTAAGTATTTTGAAAAGTTCTATGATAAAAGTTATTATTTTAAATTATCCTGTTTTTACCGACTTGTTCTTTCACTTTGTTTTATTTCGGATTATTAAAGAGTTTTGCAAGAGTTTACTTAATTTTGCTTTTTATTGAAACTAAAACTTGTATACACTTGACGTGAAACAAGTGAAGTGGCTTAGTTGCCACCTTTAAATTCTACTGCCGACATATTTGAGGGTCGAATTGTCGAAAAAGTAAATTACGTAACATGAGTTTATAAGATCTTTATCCGTATGCCATAATTTTCTAAGTATCCTTTTAGTATTCTTGTTGTAATTAAAAACTAGTATACATTCATTCAAAGTTTACAACAACAACAGGTTCATGAATGTTGATAAACGCATTGAAATAATGTAAAAAAGTACTTGGTAATCGTAATAGAAAGTAAATGTAATGAGTTGATAGAAAGTTTGCTCATAGAAGGAATGTGGGTTTAATTAACCTCACTTTTGCTTCCTGGAACCTTGTTTTCTTATTGGCAGAAAGGGTTATATCTGCTAATCCGATGCGTAAAGAAAGGAAACTGGACACATCGAAACAGAATTGAATAGAGTGATATTAAACATTGGCTTATACGTTAAAATGTTGTACGTAACTATGTTGTCCATAGTTTCAAATTATACAGCTACGTCAAAAAGATCTTACTATACTTTAAAAATATCAAGAGTAGTATTAATTAAAACAGATGAACATGCTGTCCTAGGAACATTCTTCTCATTTGATAAATAATTATTAAATTCCCTCTGTTTTTGACATTTTCAAAAGACGAATGTATTATTTGTGCCAACTTACATTTCGAAAAAAACGAAAAATTACATCGTCAAAGGAACGAACATAGTCGTTTCGTATTAGTTCAAACGTTTTCACGCGAGTCAACTCGAATGGTGCAAAGTGACAGAACCATCGAATGGGACGCGAAGCGAGGCGCATGCTGATGAACTGCGAAGAGCTCTCTAAACTTACGATCGATCGCATAGAAACGACACGTTTCTCTGCAATTTGCTTTTTGAATTTCTATCAAAGTGAATGTCGTATTCGTATCTTTTTAATTTACTAATGATTCTTTCAACACACGTTAACACGCTTGCCTCTTACGAGAAGCAATAAAAGTTAGAAAATGAAGATTAAGTTTTAATTACGGATTTCGTTTCGATTTTTCACATTAATTTCTAATTTATTCAAACAGTATATAAATGGCAAACGTCTATAATTTTTTCATTATTATTCTCGTATTATTCTAGCCAACCTAGAAAATTGTTTGTTTTATCTCGCAAACCATTAGGTTTTGCATAAAGGTTTACATTGTACCGAACATTCACTTTTAAACCCAATTTCTCTGACGAAAGTGGCAGCGAATGCACTGCGGGACCATTACCTGCATGGCAGAAATGGACTTAGATGGAGGATACTGTACACGGGATACATGGCATCCCGAACTGCATTGCGGCATACTCAACTTCCCCTTGAGTAAAGATGACCTTCTACTTCACTTTCTGAGATAGCACTGTGGCGCATGCGTTTATAAACATTTTCGAGCAACACTTTTCATCCACAACATGAAACATTGTTCTATGTCTCATAGACTCCAATATTTTCTCTTCTTTATAGGTTAAACTAAAATCCATTTATCACTGTGCACATATACCTAATAACTGGTGTTAGATGTTCCCAAGTACTTCGTCAATGAATTTACAATTTTTACTCGTTAAATTTATACGTTAAGACTGTAATATATAGCGAAAACTATTAGGAAAAAAATATCGTTAGAAAAATATTTTTAGAAACGTTGTACCCCGATGTCATATCAATGCAGGAGTCTACATTTTAAACCAAAAAATATGTTCCTATCAATTCGTGTTTTTTTAAAATTATTTTTACTATACTTCCGCTAACGTCAAATATCCTATATTATCGTTACATCGATTAATATCAGTCTTAGGTGTTCCCAATAACGGTGAGACAAAATCGACCCAGGTACACCGGTGCTTGGAAAAACAATGACAATAATGTATTTTAGTTGCCCGTCGCCATTGATCCTTTCTCTCAGTATAATTTTTCTTTGAGCTGGTCATACTTTTATTTCACCGACATGATTAATGGGGCTGGTCGGAAAGAAACGGAGACTCAAGTAAAGGTGGAAAAAGAACCATGGTCGATCCGAAACGTCAAAATAATAATTCTCGGCATACATCAAGCGCGATGCACGTACCGTAAATGTAAAAGGGTAGGATTTCCTTCGAAGATGGTCTTGGAAACGCGCACCGCGTCCTTTACAAAGGATGACGCATTCATATATGGGCTTTATCCTTCTCCAGTGTGATAGAAAATGGATAAATATTGCAATAAATCTTATACATCTGATTCGAAAGATCTGTGAAATTTTCGACTCTAGAATAAGACTAGCATTTTTTTTCTGTTAAATTCTACGATCGATCAACGTGTATTATATTTTGATATATCTTAAAATAAATATGTATAGTTAGCGTTAAAATTTTATTATATTAATTATTTATAAATAATATTAGCAATATATATATATATAGTTTTAAGATAATAATATTTTATTGTAGTTAAAACATATAATGATAAAATAATCGTAATTTCACGAATATTCTAATCTTTATAAACTTATTTAATGATTCTTTATACAATTTCATAACAGTTAAATTTCATGAATATTGAGTTTTTCAATGGTTCGTTACTTCTTAAGCTTTATGAAAGGTTTATCGATGAACCCAAAAGCTTTCTCGTTAAACGGATATCCAATATCCTCTTAGAGGGCTGCCATAAGTTTCATGCAAAGCTCTTCCTCGTTGTTACTCCATTGCGGTTCATTGCGATTATGGCGGGGAAAGACTGTAAGACTATTGTAACAGGTAGCTCTTTACTAGATTTGTTTCAAATTGGTATATAACTTGGTATGCAAGAATGGTAATACATCCCACACGTATTCGTATTATGAGAGTAACGCACTTGGAGTTTTATGGTCATGAAATTTGAACAACGACTAGAGCATGCTATTCTGAAACGTAATAACCGTACGTTATGAAGCGTTATTACGTTGTATTAGTATTCCGTCGGTTTGGCCTGTCCTTACTTTTTACGCGTTTGCCGGCTATACGATCGAATTTATGCTCGTAAATCCTCACCCCGCTGAACCCTAAATGCTTCAACTAACCGAGATGTCATTTTTCCTTTTTTTTTTTTTATCCCGTTAGATAAATGCCAAAGAAGTCAAAAATCAGAACAATAAATTACAAATACATGGGTAACATACTATACTATTGAACAGACGTGTTCAATTTTCTTTCTTAATATTTGAATATGGTTACATGAATACATATAATATATATATATATGTTATCGATAAAACGTGAAATACGTTTATTCGTGATATATCAGCTAAACCATGAAATAACTTTACCGACTAGTTAAATTATAAAAAAAGGCAAGATTATATACTTTAACTTTGAAAAATTCATATATTACAAAGTTATTTCATAAAACGATTAGTTTAAGTGTACAATAAGCTAAAATTTCATAATTTTAAATCAAACGATAATAATTGAACTGCTCAAAACAATTATAAAAAAAGAAAATAATAATAATAAAAAACATAAAACAGTTGGCATATTGGCCTGGTCCAATCGAAGCGGGAAAACGTTGATAGCCATGCAAGCGAAACTTATGGAAATCAGAGACGTATATAGTGGTACGGGTTTTCAACAGTACGAAGAGCGCAATCTGTTCTTTAATATCGACGCATCAATCCGCTCGGCGAATTCGAAATGGATTCACATTTAACCACAGAACCGGCCTTTATTAACCCTTCTCCCCTCTCTTAACCCTTTCGACCAATCTCTGTCGGTGGAAAACCGCCGATTTCGAAGGTCTTCCTGAGAGGACGTTTGTTCCGTGCGAATC